AGTCTCCCACTTTTATTGTGTGGGAATCTAAGTCTATTTGTACATCATTATGAACTTGCTTTAAGTATCTGGGTGCTCCTGTGTTGGGTGTGTATATATTTAGGATAGTTGGCTCTTCTTGTTGCCCTGATCCTTTCGCCATTATGTAATGCCCTTCTTTGTCTCTTTTGATCTTTGTTGGTTTAAAGTCTATTTTATCAGAGACTAGGATTGCAACTCCTGCTTTTTTTTTTTTTTTTTTTTCTCTCCATTTGCTTGGTAAATCTTTCTTCATCCCTTTATTTTGAGCCTATGTGTGTCCTTGCAAGTGATATGGGTTTCCTGGATACTGTACATCAATGAGTTGTGACTTTTTATCCAATTTTCCAGTCTGTGTCTTTTGATTAGGGCCTTTAGCCCATTTACATTTAAGGTTAGTCTTGTTATGTGTGAATTTGATCCTGCCATTTTGATGCTAGCTGGTTGTTTTGGCTATTAGTTGACACAGTTTCTTCATTGTGTTGATGCTCTTTATCATTTGGTACGTTTTTGGAGTGACTGGTACTATCTGTTCCTTTCTATATTTAGTGCTTCTTTCAGGAGCTCTTGTAAGGCAGGCCTGGTGGTGACAAAATCTCTCAGTAATTGCTTAAAGGATTGTTCTTAAAGGATTTTATTTCTCCTTCACTTATGTAGCTTAGTTTGGCTGGATATGAAATTCTAGGTTGAAAGTTCTATTCTTTAAGGATGTTGAATATTAGCCCCCGGTCTCTTCTGGTTTGTATGGTTTTTGGGGAAAGATCCACTGTGAGTCTGATGGCTTCCCTTTCTGGGTAACCCGACCTTTCTCTCTGGCTGCCCTTAGCATTTTTCCCTTCATTTCAATCCTGGTGAATCTGATGATTATGTGCCTTCAGGTTGCTCTTCTTGAGGAATATCTTTGTGGTGTTCTCTGTATTTCTTGGACTTGAATGGTGGCCTACCTTGCTAGGTTGATGAAGTTCTCCTGGATAATATCCTGAAGAGTGTTTTCCCACTTGGATTTATTCTCTCTCACATTTAGGCATATCTATCAACGTAGATTAGCTCTTTTCACATAATCCCATATTTTTTGGTGGTTTTATTCATTTCTTTGCACTCTTTTTTCTCTAATCTTGCCTTCTTGTTTTATTTCGTTGAGGTGATCTTCAGTCTCTGATATTCTTTCTTCTGCTTGGTCAATTCAGTTATTGAAACTTGTGTATACTTTGCAAAGTTCTCATGTTGTATTTTTCAGCTCCATCAGGTCATTTATATCTTCTCTAAGCTGTTTATTCTTTTTAGCATTTCATCTAACCTTTATTCAAGGTTCTGAGTTTCTTTGCATTGGGTTAGAACATGTTCTTTTAGGTCGGTGAAGTTTGTTATTACCCACCTTCTGAAGCCTGTTTCTGTCAATTCATCAGACTCATTCTCCATCCAGCTTTGTTCCTTTCCTGGTGTGGAGTTGTGATCCCCTGGAGGAGGAGAGGCATTCTGGTTTTTGGTGTTTTCATCCTTTTTACACTCATTTCTTCCCATCTTTGTGGATTTATCTACCTGTGGTCTTTGTAGTTGGTGACATTCTGATGGGGTCTCTGAGTGGATGTCCTTTTTGTTGATGTTGAAGGTATTTCTTTCTGTTTTTGTGTTTTCCTTCTGTCAGGTCCCTCTTCTGTAGGCCTGCTGGAGGTCCACTCCAGACCCTGCTTGCCTGGGGATCACCCACAGGGGCTGAAGAACAGTAAGGGTTGCTGCCAGTTTCTTCTTCTGTTATCTTCATCCCAGAAGGGTATCTGCCAGATGTTAGCCTGAGCTCTCCTTTATGAGGTGTCTCTTTGGATATACAGGGATCAGGGGGCTGCTTGAGGAGACAGTCTGTTCCTTATAGGAGCTCAAGTGCTGAGCTGGGAGGTCCATTGTTCCATTCAGAGCATCTAGGCAGGTATATTTAAGTCTGCTGCAGCAGAATTCATAAATGCCTTTTCCCTTAGGTGCTTTGTCCTGGGAAGGTTGGGCTTTATTGATAAGTTCCTGACATGCTCCTGCCTTTTTTCATAGATGCCCTGCCCAGTAAGGTGGTAGTCTAGCCACAGCCTGTCAGCAGAGGCATTACTGAGCTGCTGTGGGCTCTGCCCAGCTGCTCTGTGAACTTCCTGTTAGAACTGCCTTGGTAATGGTGGGTTGCCTCACTAATGGTGGACTGCCTCGGTAAAGGCAGACTGCCACGGTAATGGTGGACTGCCTTGGTAATGGCTGATGACCTTTCCCCCACTGAGCTGGACTGTCCTGGGTCCATATGAGCTTGCTGCGAAACTCTCAATCCAGAGTGTTTCAGATTGCTGGTCTTTGCTGGGGGTGGGACCCACTAAGCCATATCACCTGGCTCCCTGTTTCAGCCCTGTTTTTTTTTCTTTTTCAGTTGAATGGGTGGCTCTGTATCCCAGGTGTTCCAGGTGCCTGTTGAAATGGCTGCCTGGATTTGCGTGATTTTTTGTGTGGAGATCCGCAGTGCCAGCTGAAATAGCCATGCTGGAAACTCATGGCACTTTTCAGTTCGGGAATCTCCTGGTCTGTGGACAGTAAAAACTCATTTGGAAATGTGGTGATCACTTACCCTCTGTGTTCTTCTTGCTGGGAACTGCACTCCAGAGCTGTTCCTATTTGGCCATCTTGGATCTCCCTTCACTGTTTTTCAGTTCATTTCTCACTATTTAGATTCTGGAGAGAATCTTGACCCAGGAAATGGAAGATTCAGTTTTGGGTCCTGCTGTACTACTCACAGGGTGCTCATACATCCTCTCGAATTACTAGTTTCTGGGGCTCATTTTTCTTCTATGAAATTGAAATTAAGGTACTGGCCTTGAGTAATTTAGACAGTTTTAGTGAGGAGCAATAGAAATAATATATGAAAAGTGCTTTGTTACTCACAAAGTCCTGTGCAATTGTAAGATATTATGTTTAATATCAGAACTCACGAAAATTTCTATATTAATTGAAATAATCTGCAAATGGTTCTAAGTAGCTATCTATACTTGGCACTATATGTTCCAAGATACATATATATGGCTTTTAGGTTTAAACTGTTAGACTGGTCCACATGGAATACTGTAGGGTGGGGATGGATTCCTCACCTTCACTTTCAGCTTCATATGCTTTCCCTATTGCCACTTTCTAGATCCCTGTTTATTATCATATCAAAAAATAACAAAAATAGGCTGGGCACAGTGACTCACACCTGTAATCCCAGCAGTTTGGGAGGCCGAGGCAGGTGGATCACTAGGTCAGGAGATTGAGACCATCCTTGCCAATATGGTGAAACCCAGTCTCTACTAAAAGACAAAAATGAAAACAACAACAAAAAACCTCAAAACACTAGCCGGGCATGGTGGCATGTGCCTGTAGTTCCAGCTACTCAAAAAGCTGAGGCAGGGAATTACTTGAACCTAGGAGGTGGCGGTTGCAGTGAACCAAGATTGCTCTGCTGCACTGTAGCCTGGTGACAGAGCAAGACTCCATCTCAATAATAATAATAATAAAAATGTGTAGTAGTACCACCTGAAGAATGACTGCAACTCTTTAGAAAAAGTGATGTAAACTTGTGCTTCTAATTAAGGTTAGTTGTAGAGCAAATTAGAATGCATATTTTGTAAAGCAAGTTAAAGGTTTCATTAAAAATTATAGAGCAGTAATGATACAATTATAGCGGTAAAGCTAATGCCAAAAAATATTGCTCTGTGATGGTGGTATCTCAAGCCTTAGTTTTTGTCCTCAATAATTCCTTGGCTGAGTCAAACTATACATTTCTTTTTCTCCAAACGTTTTACTGTGACTAGCAGTTGTTTGAGCTTTGCTTTTGAACATTTTCTAGTGAGGAGGTGGAGGGAAATTGCTCAGGGAGGGTAAGAGATTCACTCATGTCTTTTAAAACTACACCTTCTGGGCCAGGCGTGGTGGCTCAAGCCTGTAATCCCAGCACTTTGGGAGGCCGAGGCGGGTGGATCACGAGGTCAGGAGATCGAGACCATCCTGGTCAACACGGTGTAACCCCGTCTCTACTAAAAATACAAAAAATTAGCTGGGCATGGTGGTGCATGACTGTAATCCCAGCTACTCAGGAGGCTGAGGCAGGAGAATTGCCTGATCCCAGGAGGCAGAGGTTGCGGTGAGCCGAGATCGCGCCATTGCACTCCAGCCTGGGTAACAAGAGCGAAACTCCGTCCCCCCCCCCCCAAAAAAAAAACTACACCTTCTTCAGGGTAGACTCTGTGCTCCGGGGGAAACTCTGACACTCCACTTTACCAGCTGCTTTGCAGGGAGCCAGCGTTCCTGGTGAAGCATATTATGCTTTCTGATGTGTCCTGTGGGAAGCGTTTTGACAAATCTCTCATTAGCTGTGTTATACATGTATGAGACATAAGAAATTTGTGAGTAGCTAGAGTGTAAGACATTGAATGACAGAGTGCTTACTTCCTCTTTCTTTAGCATATTCCCAGAACCCCTCATATACTACCCTTGCATAGATGAGATACTCAGCAAAAGGAGTTATTAATATAAAAACATTTCCTTTCTTTTTTCCTTGTCACTCAATGTGTCCCTGTTGGTTTCATACTAAAGTAGTTCAGAAGTCAATTGTGTAGCTTTACTATTGCCCTTTCTAAAGGGACTCAAACCTACATACGAAAGCAAATCTCAATATGTAAGCCTTTGTGTGGTCAACATTTCTGTCTACTGCCTCAGTGCTATGGATTTAAGTGATACATTTCATGGTGACTGGAATGAGATGTAGTGATTCATCGTTGCTGTTTAACAGAACTAAGACGGCATAAATACTGTGCTGATCCTATTTCTAGTTGCCTTCACCTGTCCTCCCATCATCTAAGAAGTCTGCATAAGAACATTTTAAATATGGGCATCTGCTTGTGTCCCTAGTTTGTACAAGTAGAATACCAGTTAGAATGCAAACAACCTGCTAGTTTCTTTCCTAATAATGTCATACTTACTAAACAGTAGATCCACTCTCTATGCATGTCCCACCATTGCCACATTTCATTAAACTGCAGGGAGAAGTATGACACTGGCCAACACTGCGTCCAGCATTTGGGTGGCCCTCAGGATTTCCCAGGTCTCTGAAATGGCCATCCTTCTCAGTGCGAACTTGAAGAGTGAAAATACAACCTTGAAGAAAGGCAAAAACACGTCATGTTAACAAACATAAGAATTAGATAAAACAAGAAGATGATTATTTTTCATTTTTAAAGTAAAAGTTTTTCAAAATACAGTAATACATGTAAATTTTAAAAGAAATATGAGAAGACAGAAATGTACAGAGAAAAATTTTTTTAAAAAGTCATTCATGATATCATTACTTCAGAGAAGACTATTAACAATTTGGTGTGTGTGCGTGTATGTGTGCATGTGTGTGTGTGTGTGTAGTATTTGATTTTTTCTATGCGTAGTCATATTTTCTTTTAAACAAAAGTGTAATTTGCATTAAGCTGTAGAAAATATAATATTATACCATAAAAGTTGATCATAAATACCATTAACTTTTCTCTTGTAGTAGTAACTATTTTAAAATTATGGCATAATATTTCTTTATATCAAAATATATTTAATAAGCCTATAATTGTTGTACCATTGACTCATTTACACTTTTTGCTATTAGAAATCAAATTGTAATGAATATCTTATGTGTATATCTTTTTGTGTTTTAAAATTATTTTCTTAGTACACATTTCTAGAAGTAGAATTACTAGGGTAAAAGATACAGATGCTTTGAAGTATGCCCAAGTGTCCCCCACAGATATTTTTCAGAACTGGACTGAGCACACTGGAATACCCCCTTCTTCACAGGCACTACCATGCATGGGATCACCATTCCATTTCATTTTTACATGCGATAGCGGATAAAATACTATTTTCCTATCTTTAGTTGAGTATCAAAAGTCTTTTAATAATTCTATTGGTAATTCATAATATATATCATAATTTGTATTTATAGTATGTAAAGAGAGTCTCTTTATATAATAGCACATTAGCTATTTGTGATCTATTGTAAATAAACTTTCTCCAGTTTACTATTTGGCACTCAATATTGCTTATGGCAGTATTTTAATTTTTTTAGGTAAAGAAGTTTCTATTTATGTTGTCACATTTTCTCTTTTTTCTTTTAGAGATTTTGCCTTTGTACATATCTTTAAAGGAACTTTTTGTGCCCTAAGATTAGATAAATATATATAAACAAAAGGGACATTTCAGTGAAGAATTTGAAATGGAAGTGTTTGGAATCTTGACATGCATTATAATTTTGCTCTTCCCCTTTAGCAGTTACTTAGAATTTATTTGCGAAGTTCTTTCAAATAAATAGGAACTTCAACCATAAATAAGGTCTTTAAAATGATAAAGGAAAGGCAAGATTGAATTTTATTTTCAAAACATTTAAAAAAACTAAAAGCATGAAGTAATTCCTCATGGTGAACAAAATGGGTTCAGTTTTGGAAGGTAGAGAATGTACTTTCCAACTTAGCTTTCACTGGCACTTCTATTGACAAGCACTGTTCTCAGCATGTATCAATATTTTCTCATTATGAGAGAGCAGTGATTATTTTTCCTCAGGGTTAATCTTTGTTCTTCCTCAAAGTACTGCCATTTACTATTATACACACACACTCACACACGCACACGCACACACATACACCCATCACCAAAATACTGTACTGACTAAAGAAATGAATGAATGCTAGCTGCTTTACAAATGAATAACCAACAAGCTCAATCAACAAAGCAGGGTTTCCTCTGCCTTTTGCAGAGTGAAATGCACTTTGCAGAGAGCAAAAATATAAGTAGGTAATGGAGTCAGGGAAGTCTGAGTTCAGATATGATCTCTGCCACATAATGGCTAGATAATGCAGTCTATCTGAAGCTAATATTTTTCGCTTTAAGATGGAGACCAAAGTAGCTATTTCCTGAGTTAGGAGGAATAAATAATATATATATAAACTATGTGTGCAATGCCTATAAATTAGTAGGTCCTGGGTTCCACACCGCTATTCCACGTTCTATCATACCATCTCAGATATTTTCTACTTCTACTGCATAAAATTGCAGATTTCTTCTAGCAAAAATTTTAGGATGCTAATACTGAATTTTTAAATTTTTTATAATCATACACCAGGATACTTTGTTAAATGAGTATAGCTTAATGTCTGAAAGTGCTTATTTTAAACCATTTCTTTTTTATATGGATAAATAAAATGCTTTTGTTATAAGGAACTAGTGAAATATGTTTTTGGCTAAAAATGTGGCAATGCTATATTTAGAGAAAGAGTTAGCCAATACAAATAGCTAAATGTATTTATTTTACAGAGACATACTTCATGTTTAGGGAATGTGTTCTCTTTCCTGGTCCACAAGGGGATGTAGTTTTAAGGGCAAGAACTTCCCAGTGCCATCTTTCTCCATCCAGGAGATTTAACAGTCTCTGTTTTAATTTTTGTGGGGGCGAGAAGAATCAAAAAGTCAATCACTCCAGTGGAAGTTCTAAGGAACTCCTTTCATTGGCCCAGGGTCTTGGAGAAGGAGGGGGTTCCTCCCAGGTTAAAAGTCTCCTTCTTCCACACCCCTCAGACTCCATGTTTGGATCCCCTTCCACCCTCGTGGAAGCTGTCTTTCTATCTCCTGGATTTTCCCTCTGGAGTCCCCTTCCGCACTCTCTCATGGAAGCCTGTCTTCCCCTCCTAAACTCCATCTCTTTTTCTATTGCCTTCCACTCCGTGTGGAAGCTGCTTTCCTCTCCTGGACTCCATCTGTCTGGATTCTCTCACATAGTGTGAGAGTTAGCTGTTTCTTTCTCTCTCCTTCTCCTGTTTCTCCTTTTCTACTTAAATAAATCACTTTCTACAAATACTTTTTAGTCCAGCATTTACTGTGCACTGCACCATTGTCTCCTCTCCCATTCTTGGGTAGTGATAGATGAAGAACCTGAAGAAACGTCCTCTCAGGGGAACTGAGGGCTCCCCTCAATGCCTGAATCCCCACAATGTCATGTTTTTAGAGCAACTGGAGTGATTAAAGTGGAAGAGATTTGTGGAATATATATCATTTTATTTTTATTATAGTAGATAAAACGTAATCTGCTTGGTGTAGTTCCATGAAACAGATATTCAGTACATAACACATATATCCTGTGTGTGATATGGAGCCATGAGCCATGTGTATATTGAAAATTAGACTGACTAGGTACCAAATAAGTAATAGCCTTTTTTTTAAATAGCAGAAGGTTTTTAAATTAATTGCAGTAAACTCATTACATTTTTCCATATGGGCTCTTGTTTGAAGAATCTCATATGATTAAAAAAGGAAGAAAGAAAAAATTGAACTCACAAGAAACTGAAAGCACTGACAGTGTTGGCTATTTTTAGATGAGAATAACTCTCCTTTACAGGGTTATTAAGGAATCTGAGTCTATCTCATGTCCACTCTATTCAGTTGAGTGGTAAATATTTAATAACCTCCATATCAATGGTCACCAGTTGCTGTAGCACTAGAAGCTTATGTTCTGTTCGTGTTAAGTCCAAAGGGTGGGTAGGGTTGGCATCAAGGTGTGTTGGCAAACAAAGTACAAGATTGTGCAGAAGATTTTAATAGGCAAGGCCTGGAAGTAGCAACTATTACACCTGCTGACATTTCCCTGGCCAGAACTCAGGCACATGGTCATGCATAGCTGTAAGAGAGTCTGGGAAAGATCTGGTGGTAACAACATGTCACGAGCATGTGTTATGTGAAAGCACCATTCCATGTGCTATGGAGCTCTGTTATCAGTCAAAACTACAGCTCCTGTTCTCCATAAGCTTACTAAATTCTAAATTAAGACATACATTCTCTAGGCATATAATTATACTAGGTATGAAACACTAAGTGGGAAAGGACTTGGAGCTCCAAAGGCTACAGAGAGTTTACTCACAATGAATGAGCTCAGAGAGTAGGCTGTCATTAAGGAGGTGTGATATGAGCTGGCTTTCCAGGCAAATGGAATTTGAAGAGGTGGAGAATGCTGATTTAAGCATGGGCCCCGAGGCAGCAAAAATAAGACATACAGACATAAGGCATAGTTGATTTTATGTGCCAACTTGACTGGACCATAGGGTGCCCAGATACTTGGCCAAATATTGTAGGGTGTGTGTGTGTGTATGTGTTTTAGGATGAGATTAACACTTATATTGATAGACTGAGTAAAGCAGATTGCCCTCCCCACTGTGGGTGGGCCTCATTCAGTCACTGAAGACTTGAATGGAACAAAAAAGAGGGAGTTCTTCCTGTTTGGTTGCTCTAACTGTTATGTTGGTCTTTTCCAGCTTTCATACTTGCACTGAAACATTGGCTCTTCTTGGGTCTTGAGCCTGATGGCTTTCAGACTGGAACTCACACCATTGGCTCTCCTGGTTCTCAGGGCTTCAGACTCAGCCTGAAGCTACATCAATTCTCCTGGGTCTCTAGGTTGCTGACTGTGGATTTTGGGACTTCTCAGCCTCCATAATCATATGAGCTAATTCCTTATAAAAATCTCTCTCTCTCCCTCTCTCTCTCTCTCTCCATACATGATTGCTTCTGTTTCTCTGGAGATGCCTAATATAGACATATTTTACTGAATTAAAAATCAGTGAAAGCAAGATAAGTATAGAAAAAATATTTGGGTTTTGGAATGCCAGGTGTATGAATCCATTCTCACTTTGAGATTTAATTGGCTCATGGCTCATGGTTCCACAGGCTGTACAGGGAGCATGGCTGGGGAGGACTCAGGAAACTTACAGTCGTAATGGAAGGTGAAGAGGAAGGAGGTATGTCTTACATGGCTGGAGCAGGAGGAATTCAGTGAAGAGGAGGTGCTACACACTTTTAAACAACCAGATCTCATGAGACTCACTATCACAGGAACAGCAAGGGAGAAATCTGCCTCCATGATCCAGTTACCTCCCACCCGGCCCTTCCTCCAGCATTAGGAATCAAAATTTGACATGACATTTGGGCAGGGACACAAATTCAAACCATATCAGCATGCAAGAAATTCAGTTATTATTCTAGAGTTGACTGGGTGTCTGTTGCATTCTAGAGCAGCAAAATGGCATGATACATTAGTATAGCAATAGTGTTCTGATGTGTCAGTTAATCAGGGAAGGCTGAGTTGTCAAAGATGACAGTAAGCCTGTGGTTTTAACTTCAGCTGCATCAGAATCACCTGAAGGGCTCATTAAAATACATATTACTGGCCCCATTCCCTGAGTTTCTGGTTCAATTAGAATTTGCATCTCTAGCAAACTTCCCTGTGATGCTGATGTTGCTCGTCCAGGGACAACATTTTGGGAACCAGGATTGTACAAAGGATTCAAACAAGTATTGGAGAGACTCGTAGAAATAGTAAATGAAATAAGTAAAGAAGTATATTCAGGAAAGGCATTTGTAATGAGGATGAGATGTTTGATTTCAGTTATTCTGCTTCTATAGCTGCCTTTAGCACAATTAACAACTCAGCAAGATTATCTACAGGCAACAGAACTTCTAGTGAAGGACCCACTTATTTTCACTTGTGACCTAACCAGTTTTACTTTTTAATTCCCCTCATTCCTCCTTTCCCTTCTTCTTTATCTTATTTTCTTCTTTCCTTCATTCTATGCCCAGTCAGTCTGATACCACCATTCATGAGCCTCACTCTGAGAACTCTGCAGCTTTGTAGCAGATGAAACTTTGGAAAGCAGAAGAGAGGAGAATTGCTCTTATTAGGGCAGATAAAACAGTAAGGCACTGAGTATTTGGTAGATTTAGACTGTTTAATGTGATTAATCTCAGTACCTTTATGAGCATTAAAGGTCATAGAAAAAATAGTTGATTAAAAGCCATTTTTTAGAACAAAAACGAATTGGCTTTAGTAGCAGTAATTATTTGTATTTTAGATCGAGAACTTTGGAATAGAGTTATTTATCAAGAGTTTATAGAAATTGGCTGGGCATAGTGGCTCATGCCTGCATTCCCAGCACTTTGGGAGGCTGAGGCAGGTGGATGGCTTAAGCCCAGGATTTCGAGACCATCCTGCGCAACTTGGAAAAACACCATCTTTACTAAAAATACAACAATTAGCCAGGTGTGAAGATGCAATTCTCAAGTTCATGGAGAGTAGGCCAGACCTGGTTGAATGGCTGAGGACACCATAAGAACAGTCCTTTGACCAAGTACCCTGGGACTAGGATCGACTGAAAGCTGTTTTCACCAAATGAATTGTTATAACAATTTAAAGCATGTTTTTATTTTATTTATTTATTTTTTTTGAGACAGAGTTTCACTCATGTTACCCAGGCTGGAGTGCAATGGCGCGATCTCGGCTCACCGCGACCTCCGCCTCCTGAGTTCAGGCAATTCTCCTGCCTCAGCCTCCTGAGTAGCTGGGATTACAGGCACGCACCACCATGCCCAGCTAATTTTTTGTATTTTTAGTAGAGACGGGGTTTCACCATGTTGACCAGGATGGTCTCGATCTCTTGACCTCGTGATCCACCCGCCTCGGCCTCCCAAAGTGCTGGGATTACAGGCTTGAGCCACCGCGCCCGGCCTGTTTTTATTTTATAACTCTACTACAACGTAACTCAGCATTGAAAGGATACGTTAGCTGGGTTTGGTGGCTCAGCTATGTGGGAGGCTAAGGTAGGAGGATTGATTGAGCCCTGGAGGTGGAGGTTGCAGTGAGCTGAGATGGCAACACTGTATTCCAGCCTTGGTGACAGAGTGAGATCCTGTCTAAAAAAATAAAGTAAAATGAAATAAAGAGTTTATAAAAATGTAGAAGCCTAGATCAGATAATCTTTTATTGTGTGATTTAATTGTGATTCTGCAGACAAATGTGATATCCTTACTCTAATTATTCTTTCAGAAAATTCTATTTGCTTTGCTTCATTATGATTAATGAATATGGTAGCTTCCGCATCCTTTTGTGCAAACTAATACAGGAACAGAAAACCAAATACCTCATGTTCTCACTCATAAGTAGAAGTTGAACAATAAGAGCACATGGACACAAGGAGGGGAACATCACATACTGGGGCCTGTCAAGAGCTGGGGGGCAAGAGAGAGATAGCATTAGGAGAAATACCTAATGCATGCAGAGCTTAAAACCTAGATGTTGGGTTGATGGGTGCAGCAAACCACCATGGCACATGTATACCTATGTAACAAACCTGCACGTTCTGCACTTGTATCCCAGAACTTAAAGTTGAGAGAGAGAGAGAGAGAGAGAATTTAAAAAATATACTGTGTTTTCCAAATCTGGGAGACTTGTTAAAATGCAAATTTTTAGGCCCCACTGTAAAGATTTCAATTCAATAGTTCTTGGGTAGGTTTCAGAAATCTGTATTTTAAAGAAGTGATTCTATATTACTCTTCAGCACCAGTAGAGATCAGCTTTGGGAACCATGGATTTGTGGCACAGTTGCAATTTGGTTGTCATGGTAAGTTGGTAACAATAATCCACAATTTATAATAAACAGTAAATGCTAGTTTAGAGTGGAGGGAAACATTAAGAAAGGATCCAACAGATGAATAATAAAATTAGGGGGTCTCAAGGTCCTGAATTTTCTATAGGACTGTGGCATAAGTGGCAATTCACAAAAAGGCTTGTCCAAGATTCCCTTCTTCACTTAGGACAGTAGCAGTTGACATACCTCCAGGAGGGTGCAATCTTAGTGTTTCTGTCAGAGAAAGGGCCAGCTATATGTGTGGTGATCTTAGGCTCATTGCCACACTTAAGGAGAAAATGACAGGTCTTGATGAAAACCTCTTTTTGGTCTCATCATTAAGGTATGAAGAAAAATTCCTAATAGAATGGAGTAAACACCACCAAAGGAAACCAGGAAGCATTGGACTTCAACAAATATGCAAATGTTGAAACCTATGATAGCAGGATAGAGTAATGAGTTAACATTTATTTGATCCTTATTGAATGCTGGTTTTTGGGCTAAGTGCTTAACAAAAATATTTTACTTACTTGATCAATCCACAAAACCCTATGGAGTAGGCATTTCTATTTTGCAGAGGAGAAAATAGAGGTGCAGATAATCTAAATAACAGGCTGAAAGTTATGAAGCTGATAGGTGACGGTGTCTGCATCTGAAGACAAACTGATTTCAGAGTCAGTGCTGTTAACCTGTTTGTGTTGCAGAGAAAGATGAGCAAGCACCTGACTGGAGCTGTGCCTCTCCCACATCCAGCACCATCCGCACTGCTAACACATAGGACTATCTCTAACTAGGCACTAATCTGTGTTCTCTTTCCATTAACTCACTCTCAGAACTACATAGCAAAAGAAGTGCTGTTACTATCGCATTTTGCAGATAAGGCACAGGAAGGTTAGGTGACTGGCCAGGTCTTGAAGCATATATGTGGCAGAGGTTGGGCATGTATCTTATAAGTCGGCTTCCAGAAGTCACACTCTTATCCTTGATGCTATACTAGCCTCTCTTACAGAGGAATTATCCACGCCAAAGTACTTATATAAGGATTGTGTCTATGAATGAAAGAAAACAGGTTTTGATTACCCCCCTACAGTGTCTCTGCATCATTTAGTGGAAGATATACTTCTTTCTCTTTCATAGTTTTACCCATCCCTTTCCTTGAATATAATGTTTAAAAAAACTCATTGATTTGTTATGCCTTTACAATCCTTTTCATACCATCTCCTGCTGTGAAAGAATCATTGAACTCTCTATTACAGTTAGCGCAATAATATGCTGTAAACGATTCTTTAAGACACCTTTTGAGAATCTGCACTGATTACAAATTCAAGGAAAAAGTTTCTTTGAGAGCCTTGACAAAATAATTTTATTCGAACCTGACCTTGTATTATGCTGGATTAGCTGTGTTGTTTTCTTATGTTTCAAGTACATGGCCTCTTGCATTTGTGTTTAGGCAGAAGTCAATCAAGGTTGGGAAAAGAATGCAATAAAGTAGACAGATAACTCCAAGGCCTGAGATTGTGCTTGATGATAGCCCCTGTCTCTCAGTGATCCTGGTCTGGCCCTTTACTTCTCACGGAGAGTAGCCTGGACCTGGTTGAGTGGCTAAGGACACACAGTAAGAACAGACCTTTGACCAAATGCCCTGGGGCCTGGATCTACCAAAGATTATTTTCACCAAATAAGTTATTATAACAATTCAAAGCATGCCTTTATTTTATAACTCTATTACAGTATGAATCAGCTTTATAAGGAAGATCCAAGCCTGTATTCCTATTTGAACACAGGAAGACAGACTGTGGCAATAAGATTGCTCACCCAAGCACAATGTTCCCCTTAATCCTCTCGGCTTGTTGTGGCCTCTGTGGGGCACCCCTTGGTGGTAAGGATGGGTTGACTGCAATCTGTCTCTTGCCTTTTAAATTCCAAAGTTAGATGGAGTTTTAAATTTTACTGTGACTCTTTAAGGTCTACCATGCTCAGCCTGTATTAAAAAGCACCCTGTATAAAAAATTAACCATACTCCTGGTTCACTAAAATCATGCTCTCCATTTCCCTTTTCCCATTGAACTTATTGCATTATACGACTACATAATTAACTAATTACATTTAGTGTTCCTTTCTCCAACTAGAATGAGTGCAGAAATCTGATTTTTTCATTAAAGGATTCTAAACATCCAGTACATATGCAGTAAGTGGTCAATAAATAGTTAATGAGGCTGGACGTGGTGGCTCATGCCTGTGATTTCAGCATTTTGGGAATCCGAAGTGGCTGGATCACCTGAGGTCGGGAGTTTGAGACCAGCCTGACCAATATGAAGAAACTCCATCTCTACTAAAAATACAAAATTAGCCAGGTGTGGTAGAGCATGCCTGTAATCCTAGCTACTTGGGAGGCTGAGGCAGGAGAATCGCTTGAATCCGGGAGGCAGAGGTTGCAGTGAGCCGAGATTGCGCCATTTGCACTCCAGCCTGGGCAAGAAGAGCGAAACTCCGTCTCAAAAAAAAAAAAAAAAAGTAAATAAATGTTTCTGATTAAAATTAAACTTTGTTCAAGTCTGAAAGCAATCCATATAGCTGATTTGGTAAATAGAAGTATACTCTTTAAAATCTTTTTATCCCTCACATTTGAAATAAGTAGTTATAGCATAAAAAAAGTCCATGCCTTACCTTGAAAACCATTTTTAAAATCTGCTCCATTTGGTAAGAGATCTGGAGTGTATTCGCTGTAGCCACCTACATAAAACTGACTGAAGACATTGAGACCAACCAATCTTCCTGGGGCGATAATGGATTTATTTTTATGATCATCTACCTTCAAAAGGAGAAAAAAATCAAAACCTATTAAAAAAGAAATTAATTCCCCAGGGTGAACTGTTAAAATACTCTTTTGTTATTTCCCATTAACTTGGCATGAAAAATTTACAAAGACCTGAATTGTGAAGAAATCAAAAATATGATACCACTTAATTCTCTGCTTCTCTGCTGGCGTCTGTTACTAGGGATATATTAATATAGCAGTCATGGTTTTGCATTTCAATAAAAATCAAAGTTCTTCAAAGATTAGGTGCGGCCATCCTGCTGATTCCCCTCCATTTAGCCTTCCCCCTCTCTTATCCATTTTCCATAGAACCACCAGAGTCATTTATCAAAAATTAGAAATCAACATGGTACCCACCTTCCTGTTTTAAGTAGCTCTTCATAGTTCTTTGGATAAAAATATAAACTCCTTAGCACATCTAAGTCCTTTGATAATATAGACTTTATCTGTGCCTAACTACTCTTCCCCCCCCAACCCCCTCACCTGAAAACCATGCTGAACTACTTGCATTCCTTAAGCTAATACTGGCCACTGTTCTCTTTCCTAACTCCTATTTGAAGTTATGCTCAAGTATCACCTTCTCTGAGAAGCACTTACTGAATTGTCTCTCACCCTTATCTATACTAGTCATCCCTCTTATTTGTTCTTATCCTACTTAATTGTAATCAACTCTCTATTCTCCTAGTTGGTACAATAGTTTGTGAGCTTTGTGAATGTACGCATCATGGGCTATTCACCACTGAACCTTAGCACGGATCTGACAATATACTAGTATTCAGTTTGTGGAATAGATGAATGAATGACTCTTTACCTTCAGCCAGCCCTCTTGGAAGAACTTCCCCAGATGAACAGTGTGGACTCCAAGGCTCAGATTGAGGGGCTCGCTCTTAAGGCTTGCTATGCCAGACCCCAGGTTATACCTGTAAACCACACTGCCATTGAGCAGGCCCACAGCCAGGAAGTCATCGCCATTCAACCCTGGAATGAGAAGGCATATGAGGAATGCTCACTTAGAGGAGTTCAGGAGTTCTGTCAGCTTTGTTTTACTGACTGGTTCTGAATTATAGCTCAGTATGCTAAGTTAGAATACACATTTAGTCTTTTGTCAACAGTTAGGTGCATATGCATCTGGCTATTGGTATTCCCAGCCCCAGAAACAGAGCACAAAGAGTTTATGTCTTTGAAGGCATGAAGGTTCTGGTCAGTCTGGGGAATGATCAATGATCAACTAAAAAGCTGACTGGGGTTTAAATCTCCTTTTGTCAGAGTGAAATTCAGGGTGCACTTTGCAATAAAGAGAACTTCACAATGTAATAGAACTGCTCAGGTAGCTAATGAGATTCGAAAGGCTGAGATGACCTAGCATTGGCTTTGAAGTTCTCTCTGTGATTTGAGAAAAGCATAAAGACCAATTTATTCCTATAATTGTTTAGAATTTGTTATCATTATTTTGTTACAAAAGCTCTTAACCATGCCCTGTGGCCATTTAAACGGGGGTTGTTTCTGTGTTCCCTCTCCTCTCACTCTCCTTCCATTAGTTCAGAGCCATCCATGCAATACGGTGAGTTCCAGCACCCAGAGCACTCAGGAAACAGTTCTTATAGACCCACAGGACAAGGGAAGTGGTTGGGAAAGACCCAGAATTAATCACTAGGGGAAGGTGTTAGCAGTATCCTTGGTGGGATTAAGAAGTTCTGGGATGATCAGTCGGTATACAGCAAGAGATCTGTTCACAGGAAGCAGGGACCCAAATGTGTCACCCAGCTTCTGAAAGGTGTGTTAGTGAGTGGGGCAAAAGACGAATTCAATACAGAGGCTAGCAGTAAGGAAACTGAGGCAAAGACTTCTGCTGAGAGGAAGAACATAAGAACCCCGTAGAAGTAAGAGGTTTAAGCATAGGGGAAAAGGCTGAATTGAGTCCTTGACATAGAAAAAATTTACTAGGAGTATGCACAGCTTCCTGATTCTGCATTTATAGGAATGATGCTTTGTCTGTTGATGGGGCTTTTATTCTTGCCTTAACCTGGGTAAAGGAGAGAAAGATCTGTAGGGATGCAGGTTTCCAGATAGGGTGGAGAGAGGTGGGCTTCCTGAAACACTGGAAAGTGAAAGACAGAAATATTATTTAGAGTTACTTGAACACTGCCTCTGTTTTTCTAAAGGGTTTGCCATGGACCCTGAGCTGGGTTACTTTTGAAAGCTCTCCAGGTGAGTCTTATATGCAGCCACGGGTAAGAGAAACTGTATTAAGTGATCTACCATTGACCAAGTACATTGAGAACTTATGGCAAGTCTCTTTTTCTTTCTCTCATTCTGGTGATTTCTTACCACCTGCAATGCTGCATCAGGTTAGCTGGGTTGTATATTTAAAGTGGAAAGTTATATGTTTCAGGAGAAAATGTAGATTCATGAAGGTAGTCAAAGAGGCAGAAAGGAGAAAAACTCTTACTAGAGATTGGAGATAGTCTTTCAGGCAGCTGTTGGGATATAGAAGAAATTGGGAGGGGTGCAGGAGGAAACTTATGAGATGTTTCTGTGGGTTGTAAATAGGAATTTTGCTGAGAGATTCTGGAGGGGATCTGAATTGTCTTTCAAATTATCTGGGAGTCAGTATTCTGCCAGCTGAACTATAAGGCACTGCAAGGGCATATTCATTTCAACTATATCCTTCTTTCCTTTCTGTCTTATGCTCTCCTTCCTCCAGTTACTGAAAGCCCATTTCATGCCAGGAGCATCATTATCCTTAGGCCCTTGACAGCCTGGTCCGGAGGAGACAGGTTTGTTTCAAGTTCCGTGAGGAGCAGGGTAGAAAGTGAGAGCAGCCACTAAGCTAGGGTGAGGAGGAGGGCTAGGAAAGCAAAAGCCTGATTTTTGAGTTGGTTTCTGAGGTCACCCAGAAAATGACAAGCAAGAGCTTGTTAGATGAAAAAAGAGGAGACAGGGAAGAGTGGTTTTTTTTTCTAAGTGCTTATTCAGCATTTTCATATATGTGTGTGTGTGTGTGTGTATATATACACACACACACACACACATACATATATATACACACATACACACACACAAATATATTTGGCAATGTAGTTTGCTGCCTGCATCCCCATCACCTATATTTGGCATTTCTCCCCATGTTATCCCTTCCCAACTCCCTACCCCCTATTTTCCCTCCCCTAGTCCTCCCACACAGACCCCAGTGTGTGATGCTCCCCTCCCTGTGTCCATGTGTTCTCATCATTCAACACCCACCTATAGTGGGAACATGTGGTGTTTCATTTTCTGTTCCTGTGTCAGTTTACTGAGAATGATGGTTTCCAGTTTCATTCATGACCTTACAAAGGACATGAACTCATTGTTTTTTATGGCTGCATAGTATTCCATGGTGTGTATGTGCCACATATACACCATGTCCAGTCTATCATCAATGGGCATTTGGGTTGGTTCCAAGTCTTTGCCATTGTAAACAGTGCTGCAATGAATATTCGTGTGCATGTGTCCTTATAATAGAACAATTTATAATCCTTTGGATATATACCCAGTAATGGGATTGCTGGGTCAAATGGAATTTCTATTTCTAGATCCTTGAGGAATCACCACACTGTCTTCCACAATGGTTGAACTAATTTAAACTCCCACCAACAGTGTAAAAGTGTTCCTATTTCTTCACATCCTTTCCAGCATCTATTTTCTCCAGATTTTTAAATGATCGTCATTCTACCTGGCATGAGATGGTATCTCAATGTAGTTTTGATTTGCATTTCTCTAATGACCAGTGATTTTGAGCATTTTTTCATATGTCTGTTGGCCTTATATATGTCTTCTTTTGAAAAGTGTCTGTTCATATCTGTTACCCACTTTTGAATGGATTTGTTTCTTTTTTTCTTGTAAATCTGTTTTAGTTCTTTGTAGATTTTGGATATAAGTCCTTTGTCAGATGGGTAGATTACAAAAATTTTTTCCCATTCTGTTAGTTGCTTGTTCACTCTAATGACTGTTTCTTTTGCTGTGCAGAAGCTCTCGAGTTTAATTAGATCCTGTTTGTCTATTTTGGCTCTTGTTGCCAATGCTTTTGGTGTTTTAGGCATGAAGTCCATGCCTATGCCTATGTTCTGAATGGTTTTGCCTAGGTTGTCTTCTAAGGTTTTTATGGGGTTAGGTCTTATGTTTAAGTCTTCCATCCACTTGGAGTTAATTTTAGTGTAAGGTGTGAGGAAGGGGTCTAGTTTCAGCTTTCTGCATGTGGCTAGCCAGTTTTCCCAACACCATTTATTAAACAGGAAATCATTTCCCCATTGCTTGTTTTTGTCAAGTTTGTCAAAGATCAGATGGCTGTATATGTGTGGCATTACCTCTGAGGCCTCTATTCTGTTCCACTGGTCTATAATCTCTGTTTTGGTATCAGTACCAAGCTGTTTTGAATACTGTAGCCTTGTAGTATAGTTTGAAGTCAGGTAGTGTGACGCCTACTGTTTTGTTCTTTTTGCTTAGAATTGACTTGGCTATGTGGGCTCTCTTTTGGTTCCACATGAAGTTTAAGGTGGTTTTTTCCAGTTCTGTGAAGAAGGTCATTGGTAGTTTGATGGGGATGGCATTGAATCTATACATTACTTTGGGCAATATGGCTATTTTCATGATATTGATTCTTCCTAACCATGAGCATGAAATGTTTCTCCATCTGTTTGTGTCCTCTTAATTTTGTTGAGCAGTGGTTTGTAGTTCTTCTTGAAGAGGTCCTTTACATCCTTTGTTAGTTGTTTTCCTAGGCATTTTATTCTCTTTGTAGCAATTGTGAATGGCAGTTCATTCTTGATTTGGCTCTCTTGAAGTCTGTTATTGGTGTGTAGAAATGCCTGTGATTTTTGCACATTGATTTTGTATCCTGAGACTTTGCTCAAGTTGCTTATCAGTTTAAGGAGATTTTGGACTGAGATGATAGGGTCTTCTAAATATACAATCATGTTGTCTGCAAATACAGACAATTTGACTTCCTCCTTTCCTAATTGATTACCCTTTATTTATTTTTCTTGCCTGATTGCTCTGGCTAGAACTTCCATTACTATATTGAATAGGAGCAGTGAGCGAGGGCATCTTTGTCTAGTGGCAGACTTCAGAAGGAATGCTTCCAGTTTTTGCCCATTCAGTTTGATATTGGCTATGGGTTTGTCGTAAATAGCTTTTATTATTTTGAGATGCGTTATGCCAATACCTAGTTTATTTAGAGTTTTTAGCATAAAGCACTCTTGAATTTTGTCAAAGGCTTTCTCTGCATCAATTGAGATAATCATGTGGTTTTTGTCTTTGGTTCTGTTTATGTGGTGAATTACGTTTATAGACGTGTGTATATAGAACCAGCCTTGCATCCCAGGGGTGAAGCCTACTTGATTGTGATGGATAAAATTTTTGATGTGCTATTGCAATTGGTTTGCCAGTATTTTATTGAAGATTTTCACATCTGTGTTCATCATGGATATTGGCCTGAAGTTTTCTTTTTTTGTTGAGACTCTGCCGGGTTTTGGTATCAGGATGATGTTGGTCTCATAAAATGATTTGGGGAGGATTCCCTCTTTTTGGATTGTTTGGAATAGTTTCAGAAGGAGTGGTACCAGCTCTTCTTTGTATGTCTGGTAGAATTCGGCTGTGAACCCATCTGGACCTGGGCATTTTTTGGTTGGTAGGCTGTTAATTGCTGCCTCAACTTCTGCCCTTGTTATTGGTCTATTCAGGGTTTCGACTTCTTCCTGGTTTAGGCTTGGGAGAGTGTAAGTGTCCAGGAATTTATCCATTTCTTCCAGGTTTACTTGTTTATGTGCATAGTTGTTTGTAGTAATCTCTGATTGTAGTTTGTATTTATGTGGAATCAGTGGTGATATCTCTTTTATCGTTTTTTTATTGCATCTATTTGATTCTTCTCTCTTTTCTTTTTTATTAATCTGGCTAGTGATCTGTCTATTTTGTTGATCTTTTCAAAAAACCAGCTCCTGGAT